CCCAGGTTGCCCAGGGAAGCTGTGGATGCCCCATCCCTGGAGGTGTTCAAGACCAGGCTGGATGAGGCTTTGAACAACCTGGTCTAACAGGAGGTGTCCCGGCCCATGGCAGGGGGGAACTGGAACTAAACGATCTTGAATCTCCCTTCCAACCTAACCCAACCTCTGCCTCCAATTCTGCAGGTCTGATCTTCACCAGCCCCCTCTGACCTCCAAGTGAGATGATTTTCAGCCTCCCTTGGGAGCTGCCCAGCTCGAGCCACTCACGGGTTTCACATCCAGGAGGATGGAGGACTTGGCAATGAGTCCTGGCTTCTTGGCCTTCTTCTCGGCATACTGCCGCAGCCGCTCCTCCCGGACCTTGGCAGCCTCCTGGTCCTCCTCCTCCTCCTCACTCCCAAAGAGGTCGATGTCATCATCCTCCTCATCTTCCTCTGCAGCAGCTGCCTCGGGTTTCCTGGCTGGCGAGGCTGAGGGGAGCTCCACTTTTTTGGAGGGCACACCAAAAGGTTCCACCTTCTTCAGAGGGGTGCCGGGCATGGAGGGGAAAGGGGAGGAGATGGACCCGAGTCAGAGCAGCACTCAGGGGGAGCTCCAAGGCTACACTGCTCAGCACAGTGACCACGGCCCACACCCTGTCATCTGGGTGAAGAACCAGCTGCTGGCCACTAAAATAGGACATCTGACCAGATGGACCTTCGAAGGGGCCCTGAATGGCTGTGAAAATACACCTAGAGGTGGAAAACCATCTCACAGCCAACCAGCCAAGAGCTGATCCTTCTCCTGAGGGCTCAGGACATCCTAAGAGCCTGAGTGGGACAGCAGCTGGGAACACAACCAGGAGTGTTCCCTGGGCACCAGGAGGGGCCTACACGTTCTGTGGGCTCACTGCAGAGACCACCCACACCACTGGTGCCACATCTGCCAACCTACAAGAAGAATCCACCCAACTCCAAACTCCCACAGGTCTCCCCCACCACAATCTCACCTAACCTCCTCGCTGCTCTCAGGGCAGAAGTCTCCTCTCTACGTGTGATTTTGGGGGAAGATGTTGCAGCTCCCAAAACTACTGGAAAACCTACAGACCCATCCTAACAATGAGCATCTTCCCCATCTTCAGGCAGCCAGGAGGCCGTGGAAATGACCTGGTGCCAGGGCTCACCTGGGTTGGAGGAACTGGTGAGGGCTGGTGGGAGGTAGATGACTTTTCCAAAGCGTTCAGGCGGCTCTCCAGCTTGTAGATGGCCATCTGAAGGTCTGCCACAACTGGGAGAAGAGGGGAGAGGGATGAAGAACCTCATCTTGCAGGCATCTGCATCACCTTGTCCTCAAGTCAGGACAAATTTGCTTCAACTCTAAGCGGGCTATAAAAAGTTGCCGCAGTCAGAAGGGAGCCTGAAAAGCTCCAGGTAAGACCCAAAATTGTTGAGCAGGACCCAAAGCTCCCATCAGGACCCAAAACTCTGTCTGAGACTCAAAACTCTCGAGCAGGACTCAAGCTCTGATCGGAACCCAAAGCTCTGGTTAAGACCTAAAACTCTTGAGTAGGTCCCAAAGCTCCAGTCAAGACTCAAAGCTCTGGTTGGGACCCAAAACTC